ATTATGGGGGAGGAGCATTGTTTTAGACTGGTCTCCTGCACTGGGCGCCAATACACCAAACTAAAATGGAGTCACTCATGCTAAATGCCACAAAGTTAAACTGAAACTTTACAGACCAGCTTTTCCTGAAAACAGAAGATTCCAGTCTACCTCAGTTAGTGTAATAAGGAAGTCGTCTCTGCTTTAACCCTTACAAAACATGTAACCTGAAGTAACCTGATGTTAACCAATCAATTATTTTTGTGTTGTTCTGTGTCCTTGTTCCCACCTTAGCAAACCCCTCTTCTGCTATTGCCCACTGGGAGCTTTCATGCTATTTTGTAGCATGAAGGCTGCCCCTGATTCATGAATCATGAATAAAAGTAGTTAGAGCTATAACTAAATTTGTTGTAATTTTGTCACACACTAGGGATTATTTTTACCAATCTCTGTCTCCTGTGCCTTTTATTTTTTAAGAGACAAGGTCCTGCTGTGTTGCCCAGGCTGTGATGCAGGGGCTATTCAGAGGCATGACCCTAGTGCTTACAACCTCCAACTCCTGGACTCAAGCAATCCTCCTCTAGCCTCCCTAGTAGCTGGTACTACAGGCACACACCCAGCTCCCTGTGTCTTGTTAACAGCATGTGGACAAACGTTTGGATATCTGCCCACCAAATAAGTGGGAATATAATTACATACTATCAATTTTAAACCAAATGTGAAATTTAGCTCTTCTTACAGAGCTGGGGAAATAATATTAACTTTATTCTGGAGTTGGATCTTCACCAAATTGATTATAGGTAATCCCCTTTGCCCCCCTTTTTTTTGCCTAAGTTTATTCCCCCTTTATACAGCCAAGTATATATTGCTCCAGAAAGAAGCAATAATCAGAGGGTTTTTTTTTTTTTTTGGTTTTGTAACTTTGCTGTATTCTATGATCGGCAGTTAGTTCTTATCCACATTGACCGTAGATTTTTGAAAGTGGTAACAGGTACATAGGTAACTAAAGTATTGAGCTTATTGGGTGAATCTTCATCCTCATTACATTTTCTGAACAACCACATGTGGATACAGTATGAAACATTCCTTATTCCTTTGGCCCAGACAGCTTTTTTGAGCCTGATGTCCATGCTCACATCTGGAGTCCCCATCTCGTTCATGGCAAATTTCCCAATCTCCTTGAGTGCAGGAGGATCATGCATCTCGAAGCCCACTCCATGGATGTGTTTGTGAATGTTGACGCTATAGTCTCGAGTCACCACTTTGTTAATGGCGGAACAGCCCTTCTTGCCACTCTTCTTTGCAGGAGCTATTCTGCCAGGCCCGAGTTGGGAAGAAAGAACATGAGGGGTTGTGCAATAATCAGTTTCAAAAGTCATCATTACACACTTGATTTTTTTTTTCACATTATTGCTTTAGATAACAAATCATGTATAACTTCTTAGAGTAGAAAAATCCCTCCTTTTGATAAATTATTTTCACCCTGGTATTTAACATAGGAAGCTCTGGGACTATCCTTTGAGGTAGGGTCAGAGCCCTTTTCTGACTTTGCAGTTTTAGGAAACTAGTGCATTGATTTATGCCACTCACACTCACAAAAATGGTTCCAAAAAATGAAATGTTAGCCTATTTATTATATAATGGAGGATATCTTTAAAGGCACTGATTAAACATATTGGGCAGGTTACCTCCTTCCAACTACAAAAGTAAGGAAATTGAATTTGAATCACGATCTGGGATATAACCCCAAATCACTGATTTAGGTCCATGATGTGTATAAGCTGCTACATGTTAAGATAAATAGAACTCAAATTAGACTTGAGGACTAAAGGCTTTTTCAGCTGTTCTTGGAATGTAGTAAGTTTTAGCCCTTGTCCTACTTTATACTCCGTTTTCTTCTACACGTTTTTCTCCCAAGACAGTGCTTTGAATGAATACAGGAGGGACTTAGTTTTTTAATTCATCCAACAGATCTCAGGAGTGTATGTACCAGGTGTTTTTACTATTAAAAGATTTTAGTTTTAAAAGGTTCAGAATTGAAGAGTATTAATAATAGAGCTCACTATGTATGCAGCGCTGTTGTGAATACATTTTATATATGTGTATATATTCATATATAAAATAATTCTCACAACTGTGGTACGTACTGTTCTTATCACTCCCGCATTTTATGGATGAGGAAACAAATCCAGAAAAGTGACTTCCCAAGGTCAGTCATGTGGCAGAGCTATGATTTGAACACTTGACAATCAGACTCCTGAGTCTGGGTTCTTAATTGTTGTTTCTTTTGCAGTCCCCAGAATAAAGCCATTTTTACAATGAAAGTGCCTCCTTTCCTTTTATCAGTCCCTGATGCTCTTGTGAGATTACAGAAAAAACCTATCACAAATCAAAGGGTTTCTTAAAGAGTTGATTTTTAAGCTTGGGGTTTTTTGATTAGATATGGGTGTTGGCCTGTTTTTTTTTTTTTTTTTTTTAGATAGGGTCTTGCTCTGTTGCCGAGGTTAGTGTAATGCGATAATCCTGTATCTGAC